ATAACATCTTCTCTTATTATATTTTGCGGCACTGTCGTGACACTTTCAACACAGTAAGAATTTCTTGAACGTTTTTTTTTCCAGTAACAGTCCAAACTCAAATAACGTAGGGGAGGGGTGACGACGCATCTGTATAATCTGCGGCAAACCGTTTCAGGGTGTTCTGTACCATAAAAATAGTACAGAGATTCTTTTGTTCTTTAGACCAAATTGATTATTAAAAAGAGTGAAGAATACGCATGTTAATTTCTCTAGAACGATGTACCTCTGACGAAGACATGAGATCTTCGACCTCTAGTTATGATTGATGAACAATCAATCAATCCTTGATGAAAAGAAATTTCACCTGAAAAGCTCAGGAATCCTCCTTGATTCATCGCATGTATGTGGTTCCAGTTGGATGATCAGGAGTGTTAAATCCGATGCAACTGTTTCAATGTTTCGACAATGATGATGATTCAGACTCGTTGTAGAATAATTCACCAATGGAAGTTTCTTTCTTTATTCATTTTTCCAAATAATCAACATACCTTGCAGACATACATACAAACAATGATATGTGCAAATAACAATCAACCAAGCTCTTTACTACAAATATTGTAATGTGTTGAAAGGCCCAGAGAGGATCATACTACTACTAGTACCTAGAACTGGATTGTTCCTATATATAAGCTGTTAAACTTGTAATCGTAAAGGCTGCATTGGTAATTGGTCAAACATCTAAAAAATTGAATAAATAAGTAATTATAGGTATCCATTCACTTGTTTCAGCCCAGAATGGCAGGAAAGGGAAAGACTGTTGCAGTTGTCATGCTGCTAACACTTGCCGACCTCGCTGCTAACACAGTCTTCTACATGCACGGTGTGGACGTGTACAAGTTCATGTACGGCATCAACTTCTTCAGCATGTTTACCTCCATGTTCGACACCTGGGTGCTGGGGGTACTCAGGGTGTGTGTGATGCTCGGAGCTGTCCTGTCAGTGCTGTGCAACACACAGGATGCTGTTCCGAGGATCAAGCTGTCACAGTCCTGGGTCAGCATGTATCCAGCCGCTGTCTTTGCGTACACCGTGACGAAGCTGCTGCTGTATGCTGAGAAGGAAGAGGACATTCTGCCCAAACTGTGGTTCTGGGCACAGTTTGGAGGGAGTCTAGTGGGATGTGTTGTATTTTACTTCAACTGGATTTTACTTTCTAAGATCAGTACAAAGCCATACTTAAGCGTGAACAAGGAGGAGGGAACAGAGGAAGAAATAAAAGGCCTAGTTGGGGATGAAGAACCAAATGACAAGAAGAAAAAGAGGAAGAAAGAAAAAGATGAAGATGGCAAGTCTGCTGTGTTGAAATTGATGTCTTACTCCAAACCTGACCTGCCGTACCTCCTCACAGCCACCGCCTTTCTGCTTGGAGCTGCTGTTAGTAAGTATGACAGGAGCTTTTCATATAAACAATCACTTTTATTATGCTCAGTGTATGAGAGTCAAGATTTGTGTAAGATTGTCTTGCTTTATCATCTTTACTTCCTTTTTGTACATCATAATTACAGGGATTTTCTTAACAGCATAAGAAAGCTAGCCAAAAGACTAGTTGAAGCATTCAAGGATGAATATGTACTCTTGTCTCATGTTGACTGTTTTGGAGCTTCATTCTCAGTCAAATTAGCCCTTTTTTAACATTTCAACAGACGATCTTACTTTTTCTCCAATTACAGTTATTTTATACCACAGTTTCCTGAGTTGTGCAGGATTCTAGAAGTGCTGACTGATGATTTGTTTGTTCCCTGCAGGTGACATCTTTGAGCCTTACTACACTGGCCAGGTGATTGATGGGATAGCCATTGAGAAGTCACAGGAAAAGTTCACCCGAGCCATCATCATCATGACACTGCTGTCCATAACAAGGTCAATAAACTTTACACAACATATACAAGATTATGCCATTTGGTGCTTCCCTACTCCTTGTAATCTTGTCTATAAACATTTAACCTATATTTTATAAGCATTGACAAATCTCTCTCATTCAAGTCAATCTAATGGCCTCAAAAGCCTGTCATAGATTGCATTGCCATGCTGAGTGTATAAATGGAGATTTTAAAGATACAAGTTACAAGTTTAAGATAGTGTGGCCATTTGTACCATTTTGCTACCAAAAGATGATGATTGCACAACAATACTAGTAGCCAGACACTTAAGCTTCAGCCTCTTGACTTATATACCCGTGTTTAGTTTCTGTACCTCAGCCTCTTTAGCTGACCTATGTCTGTACTTACTGACTAACATTGATTGATGGTTCCAGTGGTGTGTGTGCAGGTCTGAGGGGTGGTCTGTTCTCCGTCTGTATGGCCAGACTGAACATACGACTACGCAACCTCCTCTTCAAGTCTGTCACCCAACAGGAGATAGGCTTCTTCGACAGCGTAAAAACAGGTAAATGTACAACCAGTACTTGTCACAGATTAACCAAGGAGGTTAAATCAGCTCGTTGGTTTAACCTAAAGGATGAAAAGAAAATTCAGCTTTTGGATTTTTGAACCCCAAATGCTATGTCTCTTTGGTATCTGCTTTGATATTGTGTGTACAGTAAATTTTGACATCAAAATCAAAATACATGTAGAAGGAAAACTTGTCAATGAATCTTTGTGTACCATTAGGCAAAGACATCCACCCAAGCCCCAGATTCTGTTTTTGCCTTGATATTTCAGCTCAGCATTTATAATAATTTCTATTTTGTAATGAGAAAAACAAACTGACTGTGTGACTTTTTCCAGGCGACATCACATCTCGGTTGACCTCTGACACCTCCACCATGTCTGACATGCTGTCCCTGAACCTGAACATTTTCCTTCGGAGCTTTGTGAGAGGAGCAGGCACCCTCTTCTTCATGTTCAAGTTGTCATGGCAACTCACCATCTTCACGTTAGTGATTGTCCCTGTTGTTGCTGGTGTGTCCAAAATCTATGGAAAGTACTTTAAGGTAAGATGATGTTTTAAGCTAAGGTTATAAGCTTTCAAAACATTGCTACAGATACATGTATGTTGTGTAGAGAATCATCTATTCCTCTCTGTCTCCAGCTTCTCTCTGTCTGTGAAGGATTCTAGAGCTCTTGTTAAAATAAAGACTTGGAAAACCTTATCATTAGCTACTGAAGAACAATTGGTTAAAACTCTTCTGCTTTTCTTTGTGCAGAAATTATCCAAGGCTGTACAGGACTCCCTTGCCAGAGCAAACGAGGTAGCAGAGGAGACAGTTGCATCTTTGAGGACAGTTCGCAGCTTTGCACATGAGAATGGGGAGTGTGACAGATACAGGTATACATCAGAAGCAGATGTACACTTAATACAATTTAAGGGAGGGAGTGAAGTAATTTATTTTGGGACATGTCTGTGTGTTTGTCACGTTAGGTAAGCATGTCAACAGTAGAGTTATTTTGATCAAATTGATCAAATATGAGAACTAACCTGTTGTGTCTATATTTTTTCACAGAGAAAAGCTGAAGGCTACCTATAAACTTAATATCAAGGAGGCCCTTGCCTACGGAGGCTACTCAATGACAACACATGTAAGAATAATGTTAGATGACTTTTAAGACTTGTTTCAATTAGTCATACACTTTGTGTTTCTTTGCCATGAAGGATTTTGATCTGATGTTAACAGAAACGTCCCCCATGTGAACCTACAGACTCTGGAGCTTGCCATGGTGGTGTTGACCCTGTACTATGGTGGCCATCTTGTCATCACAAACAGACTTACAGGAGGGAACCTGGTGTCCTTCATACTGTACCAAATGGAGCTGGGAGATGCTATAGAGGTATAGTACATTTGTACAACTGTAGTGCAGGACTAGGAAAGTCCTGGTTATAGGAGAGATCAGAGTTGAGCCTGTATAGCTATATTCATTTTGTGTTGGACCGCTCTGCTCTGTCACTAGATAGCTAGAGTAATATCTCAGAGAGCTAATAACACTGACCATACAATGACAATGACCATGAGTTGTATGAGGCATAGACCATAATAGTCATATTTTATATCCAGATTTCTTCTTGTTTATAAACCACTCAGTACAGAAACATTTGGCAGATGCAATTAAACATGATCAGCAACAGCAAGTTCTTTTTGTATTTTTTAAACAGGACATGGGATCTGTCTACACTGGTCTCATGCAAGCAGTTGGGGCATCAGAGAAGGTTTTTGAGTACATTGATCGCAAGCCTGAGGTGCAGAACAATGGTTTACTGGCACCTGACAAGCTGGAAGGACACATAGAGTTCAAAGATGTGTGCTTTGCCTACCCAGCTAGGAAAGATATTCCAGTTTTAAAGGTAAAACTTAAAGCATTTTACATGCATTTACAGTTAATCTGTTGGTGTAGTTACTGTTACACCTTACAGCTACGTAAACATTGTTGGCAGTGTTTTTATTATTATTTTAGCACAGACATGCCTATGTTTTGACAAAGGGTTAGCATTAGCTTTAGGGTTACGTTGTTAGTCCAGTGACCATATTGTATTTTTGTATGCATTGTAGGATGTTTCTTTTGAGGTGTCTCCTGGCGAAGTTGTTGCCCTGGTTGGCCCCAGTGGCAGTGGGAAGAGCACCTGTGTCAACCTGCTGGAACACTTCTATGAGACCACGTCAGGCCAGGTGCTGCTAGACGGTAACCCCATCATGGCGTATGATCACAAGTTTCTGCACCGAATGGTGAGGTCTATTCCCTTACCTGTTTTATTATCCCTTCAGTATTAGGGGCTTCCGTGTTATATGTGTTATAATTGTCACTGTGAACTCAACTCAACAATCTGCGATTTAAAAATACCAGTGTAAACTTGAAATTGGTACCATGCATGGTGTCATTTCAGATTGCTCTGGTAGGACAAGAGCCGGTGCTGTTTGCCCGCTCCATCAAGGACAACATCTCCTACGCCCTGAACAACTGCAGCCTGGAGGAGGTGCAGCAGGTTGCTAGGCAGGCCAACGCCCATCAGTTCATCGCGGAGCTGCCTGAGGGGTACGAGACGGAGACTGGGGAGAAGGGGATGCAGCTGTCGGGGGGACAGAAGCAGAGGGTGGCGATCGCCCGGGCGCTGATCAGGAGACCAGCGGTGCTGCTACTGGACGAGGCCACCAGCGCTTTGGATGCCGAGAGTGAACACTTGGTGAGTAAAAAGAAGCTCATAGTCATAGACTTCTTCAAGTATTATTCCAGGCCAAGTCTAGCTTTCGGTGGTCCCAAAATGAAATTTCACCGACGGCTATTCCGAGATCAGGGTGCGCCAAAGGGTTGCACTTGGGCCAATTTTTCAAGTTTTATATTTTTCTACTTTTAGTGCAGAAAATCGATCTAGAGGTGTTGCCATACATTGCACTTTTTAAATTTTTGGATAGAGACGTTCAGTTCAAAAGTTGTGCTCTTCCAAACTTTAGCCCACTCATTTCAGATGTGGCCGGCAACGGACACTACAGCTAAGCTGTAGTGTCCGTTGCCGGCCACATCTGGCCGCTCAAGTACATGACAAGAACACCAAATCTTGCAAGACCTGTCATTAAGGGGTTGACAAAATGCTACAGAAATAACATAAATGACAAAATTACTTCAAAATTGCAACAAAGTGTAATTAATGTACCTATATGGTATACTTGGCAACGGACACTACATGGCAACGGACACTACACCCTTGAGGTTTTTTGACATTATTTCATATAATTACAGCAATAGACTGAAATAGCTACTGTGTTTTAAGTCAGCATCTTTAGCTGTTTCAAAACCTGAAATCATATGCACCCACAGCTTTTCTATTTTAAGTTATTACCGAGCAACGGACACTACACATTTTCTCGGACAAAAAAGACAGGTAACTGTAAGCCATCAGCCATATTAACCCAAAGGACAAGCAACATAAAAACACATGTTTTGTGTCATATATGGATGTACCTTGCATAACATGCAAAATGGCCAGTTCTATCACCATCCTTTTTAGTACAGGGAGATAAGTTAATTGCAATGTGTTAATTTATGAATTTTACATAACGTGTACAACATATTGATAAATGCGCTCTAGAAAAGAGAAATTTCCAATCATCATCAGGTTTTTTGCAAAACATATCAGACTGAGCATGTCTGAACATATTGCAAATCTTTTCATTCCATTTTTTTGTTCCCAAATTACTTAAAAGCATATTTCAAAAACTGGCATTTTTCAAGTGCAACAGCATAACGTAGATTTTATGCCAATTTCTGGTCTTAAATTGGCCATAGCATAAGTTTTAAACATCTTAACACCAAATCTCTTCCTGATTGTCTGGAAAATAACTGTACTAGTATAACAAGTTTAGATAAATGTCAACAGAATGCGATAAATACAGAGTAAGATTGACATAACGATGCACGATGCCATTGGCGCACCCTGATCTCGGAATAGCCGCATATCTTGGGTACTTTTTAACTTGAACTTGTGTTAAACTTTATCAATAGGTGTTCTACATTCTTTACATCAGGGACAAAGTCTTATTCATTGTTATTGTAAAAAAACACGAAAGGCTATCTTTATTATCTAAATTATATCTCAAACTGAAGATATTAGGTGAGTTAGGGATTTAGGGTGAGTTCCCTTTTGTGTTGGATCAAAGTTAAACTTTACCATCACATCAAAATGTCTTATTACAGGTCCAGCAGGCTATCCAAAACCTGCACGGACACACGGTCATCCTCATCGCCCACCGGCTGAGCACCGTGGAGAGGGCTGACCGCATCATTGTCATCGACAGGGGCAGCGTGGTGGAGCAGGGGCGGCACCGGGAGCTGATGCAGCAGGACGGGCTGTACGCCAAGCTGGTCCAGCGACAGCTACTCGGCTTGGACAGCAAGGAGGAGGACAGTACAGCAGAGGCAGAACCGACAGCCAACAGCCAGTATGGGTCGATGAAGGCCAGTCGTGGTCGGTTGAAAAGTGGTTCGAGCTCAGATTCAGACTCAGATTCAGACAGTTCTGGATCAGATGTTGCAATAAGAGTTTAAGTAGGAGCAAGAAGGGAGATTTACAATTTTTATCTCAGATGGACTATTTAGTGTGGACATCATGATATTTTTTATTATTATTGCTTCTCAGTGAAACCGTACACGTTTAGGCAGAAGTACATGTAAGAGTTGGTATTTACTATAAGTTTTATATTAGGTGGACTGTTCATGTGATATCTTCTATTATCTATTATCTACATTATCTTCTATTTTTGCTTCTCAGGTAAACCATATTGTTTATCCGTAATGAGATTTGTGATGGTGATATTTATGCAGTGTCTTAAACAAACTTCAGTGACTGTGTGTCAAATGTTTTTGAATTGAGTTGTGGTCAGTTTTTGCAAAGAAAGAGGATAGGATATATATAAGTTGACCGGAGCTGTGCAATGAATTTATCCTACATGGACTCGAAATCTTAACAAGATAAAACATTTTACTGTTATTGCGTAGGCAGACCATGCTACCTACATGTGTCTACACGACTTCTATTATTGAACCTCCTATATAGGATGGTAAGTATAACCATGGAGCTTTTGGAAATGGTTGCATTTAGAAAAGGTGTATTGCTAGTATGTGGAAGGATGGGTGATGTTGTCAGAGAAACACAAACAATAAAGGACTATTTTTTGTCACACAGCAGACACCCAGACTTGCAGTGACTGACTTTAATTTTCTACAACTTGTTTGTTGTACATCATTGCCACATACATGTACGTGCAAGTCTGTGACTATCTCTCACTACCAGGGGCTACATATATAATTGTCCCCCTCCTCTAGTAGAGCCAATCAGTCAGATGGCTTGCAAGGAGCGTAATTACGTCAGTAGAATTACCAAGTAATTCCTGAAACTTTATCTACAGACCAAGGTGCAAGCATCCCCTAACATTGTTTTCCTGGTAGTATAGCTGCCGTATCTTAGTAGCACTTAATCATCTCGATGTCACAGTTCACACTGATGAGTCGTTTTGAGGGCTGAAAAGCCCTAGGTTTACTTTCCGCTGGAAGAGTCCTTTCATCTACCAGTAATCTCCAAGCAGATCTTTCGGGGGCCGCAAAGACACGGTAGCAAATTGGCCAGGCTGTATTCTTCATTGGCCAGACAGTTAGCATTTCGCCACCGAAGAAATGGTAACTGTTCGGCTAATGGATACAGCCTGGCCAATTTGATACTGCCTTTGTGACCACCAAAAGATATGCTTGGAGATCTGTATAGCCGGCATAACCGCCGGTCTACGGCGTAACAGACCAGCTAACTACCAGCAAATTACTTTCATCAGCCGGGCGCGTCCAGCCCCAACATCTCCCGCCGCACCATCCTAGCGTACAGCCCTTCCTGCTGCATCAGCTCCCGGTGCCGCCCCTGCTCCACCACGCTGCCCTTGTCGATGACGATGATGCGGTCAGCCCTCTCCACGGTGCTCAGACGGTGGGCGATGACGATGACCGTATGTCCGTGCAGGTTTTCGATAGCCTGTTGGACCTGGAGCGGAAAGAAAATGGTCCTTTAAGCACTCTTCTGAGTCAAGTTTCTGTTGTAGGGAGAGTTTCTTTATCACCGGTACCACAAACTTACTTCGATCATTCAACTAAAATATGAATGAGTACTTCTATGTGATGCAGTGCACTGAGTCTAAAAGATGAGTTGACAGTACATTAGTTGTGCTCTATCGTCGTCCACGACCCATCTACTTTGTCATATACATCCCAGTTGTAACGGATTTGGCATGAAAATCCTGATTTCATCTTCAGTGTTTCATCTTCAGTGTTTTGTATGAAAAAATCTTGCCATTTGTTCACTCTCGGCATCCAAAGCGCTGGTGGCCTCGTCCAGTAGCAGCACCGCTGGTCTCCTGATCAGCGCCCGGGCGATCGCCACCCTCTGCTTCTGTCCCCCCGACAGCTGCATCCCCTTCTCCCCAGTCTCCGTCTCGTACCCCTCAGGCAGCTCCGCAATGAACTGATGGGCGTTGGCCTGCCTAGCAACCTGCTGCACCTCCTCCAAGCTGCAGTTGTCCAGGGCATAGGAGATGTTGTCCTTGATGGAGCGGGCAAACAACACTGGCTCTTGTCCTACCAGAGCAATCTGAAATGACACCATGGTACCAGTTCAAGTTTAGATCCAGTATTTTATAATCATAGATCGTTGAGCTTAAAGTGATGATAATAAAACATTCAATGAATCCCCTAAGACTGAAGGGATAATAAAACAGATAAGGGCCTCACCATTCGGTGCAGAAACTTGTGATCATACGCCATGATGGGGTTACCGTCTAGCAGCACCTGGCCTGACGTGGTCTCATAGAAGTGTTCCAGCAGGTTGACACAGGTGCTCTTTCCACTGCCACTGGGGCCGACCAGGGCAACAACTTCGCCGGGAGACACATGGAAGGAGATATCCTGGCACAAAAAAAAGTTTAAAGTTATCTCGGCGACACCTTTGTACTATAATTACTCCTGTTAACCCTATGTTCTTCATGGACATTCTTCGAGTCTATCAAACTTAGTGTACTCCCATTTTCTCTTATGCACGAATACCTGTATTGAGCTTTTAAAGCTATGCTTCATATCCTACCTTCAAAACTTGCACGCTCCTTCGGGATGGGTAGGCAAAGGACACGTTTCTGAACTCTATTTGTCCTTCAGGTTTCGAAGGTACCATTTTCCCGCCGTTTTCAATCTCTGGCTCGCGTTCTATGTATTCAATGATTTTCTTGGACGCTCCAACTGCTACCATCAGCTCTACGTACACGTTTGCCATCTTCTGTTTAGTATGAAAAAAAAGCAAACAACATGTAAACAATCAGTCACTACACATTTTAACAATTACCTCAGTTTCTGGGACCTAGGTGAGAAATATCACTACCACATCATAAGAATAAGAGCAAACGTTCCACATGGTTTCACTCGCAATATGTATGGTGGAGGTGGTTCTCCTCAGAGACAGGCTAGGCATAATATATTTAAAGTGTGCATCCCCTATCAGGAGGGTGCAAAGAGGTGTGTCTCGGGCTAGCTTGTGACTCATGAGCCAGACTGCTACTAGAATGAGCCATAAACTACTAGCAATGTAGCCTTTGAACATATCGCTGTACAATACGGATATTTCCTTACCTCCAAGGAGCCCTTGAGGTGCTTCTGGTACAGTATAAAGGATACCAGGCTCCCTCCTGTCAGATTCGTCGCAATCACAAGATGGCCGCCGTAGAACAAGGTCAGCACGAGTTGCGTAAGGGAGAACAGCTGGACGTGGAAAAACTTCGCATTTTAATTTCGTAGAAACACCATTATCTTAATAACAGAAATATTTTGTTCCACGATCAATATTTTGTTCCTTCATCTCAAATTATAATACTTCCAACAGTGTGCGATTGGATTTAAATCGTATGGAGATCGTGATTCACTTCAAATCACACGGACGTAGGCCTAGCGTTCCCCGTCTTGTACTAAGCTAACGAAAGGGTATATCACCCCGTAACCCCGACCAATACGGTCGACTGATGGTGATGATGCAGTATAACATTTCTGCGATGTTGTGAATCGAACCAGATTCCAACAGCAACACCTGTGTGCTCTTAAAGCACAATTATCATAGTGTTTTGTGTTCACTTATGGCCGTGTTCAACTGACGAGACACAGTGCGCATCGATCATCTACTTAAACAGACAGAGGCCGATTATGATGATGAGTACGAAAGTGTGTAGTGGCTACTATTGTATTAAGATGTAAACAGCACCTATAGCCATGGCAATTTGAAGCACACAAAATTTCGGACTCACATGCTCGATCGTGGCGAAGCTCCCTAACAGCAATGCCTCCCTGACGAACAGCTTGTAAACGTCCTGAAGTCTCTCACTGTGGGTTGAGTAACGAAGTGGTTGTCAGGAACATTAAGTTTTGTTCATCAGTCGCACAGGCATGAAAAATACTCTTTGTCAGTAGATTGTACTGTCGTGTACCATCATATACCGACATGTGTGCCCTGCAAACGCGATTTACAAGCACACACAGACACGACACCATGGATTCAGCACCAAGGACAGCTGGTACCAAACTCACTTTTGATAATATTCGTTACTAGATCAGATCTCTTTTTGTCACCAACCTGTATCTCTCACACTCTTTGTCTTCATTTGCAAAACTGCGGACTGTCCTCATGTTGGCACACGTCTCCTCAGCCACATCGTTGGCCTTGGCTAACGACGTCTGTATGTCCTTAGCCACTTTCTGTACAATATGCGTACCGAGAAAACAATAAAATTCTATTCATCCAAAATGCACAAACAAGCACAAACACACTAAGAGGTTTCAGTAAAAGTGGTTGAACGGTTTATCACCAGTACATATAGACGACCAAATAGAGTTATACAGAGCTAAATAGCATTTATTTTGTGTTTCTCACCACGTGTTTGTCCATTGGCTCTTTTTCACACACATACATGTATGTTCTTGAAACTCACCTTCAGACATTTGCCGTACGCCTTAGCAACCGCGGCGATGAGAGGAAACAGAAGGAGAGTCAGGACCGACAGCCGCCATGACAGCTTGAACATGAAGCCCACGGTAAGCACCACGCGCACCACGGTAGCGCAGACCAACTTCAGGTTTTTGACAAGAGTCACTGTACTAGTGTTTGTGTCTGAGACCAGACGAGAAGTGATTTCCCCTAAATTGAATAGAAAACAATGCGTGTTGCAATGTAGACCAAATCATCCATACATGACTACGGCGTGTTGCTTTACTGTCCTACTGTACCAGCTACGATTGTCGAGCAGTATAGTTTATCTATGCAGTTGTAAAACATTGATCTGTAAAAGACAAATATCACAACTCAATGAAAATCTCACCCGTTTTGACGCTGTCGAAGAAGCCGATCTCCTGACGGGTGAGGGAACGGAACAGCAGGTTTCGGACCCGGATGTTGAGCTTGATCATGGTGATATTAAACAGCCCAATGCACGTGCCATCGAAAAGGGCGCTACAGACCACATCACAATATAGAGTTACACGTTTGCCTCGAAAGAAAAATCAACGTTTATTTTCAAATTTTCTTGGCAAGACACTTACCCAGGACATTCGACGTTCATACGTCATCATTGCATAAATTACGTCATAAGTAAAAACTTGTCAATGATTCGATTTTCTGTGCATATCAAAACTTAAACATACTGCTGATCAATCAAAATGGAGTCCTATTATTTCTTTCTATAAGAACGATGCGTATAAGACGAGCCCTCAATGTGCAGAGTTGACTTAATGAGTGTTTGTTCTTACGTTAAGGCTGTTAAAAGGCACATGATGACAATGGCGTGGGTAAACTTGGCCTGTGACGTTTCTGTTTTGGCTATCCCGTCGATCACCTGACCAGTGTAGAGCGGAAGGAAGGTGTCAGCTGGAACAGAAGGGCAGGTAAGATACAGGACTATCAGGTGAAGGGACTTGAGATATGGATATTTACATAACAAGCCAGTCAGAGATGGCAGACTTTATCCCTTACCCATACATCTTTTCGACCCTTCCAGCCCCACAAAAAAATGAATGAGGATCATGTAGGGCAATGCTGCATTGTGTATTATGTATCAGAGACACGCGAAGAGACAAGCCAAAAGTAACACTTCATTCTGTTTGATACTTACTGACGGCACTTCCTATCTGGAAAGACGTCGCCGCAAGAAAGTACGGTATGACAGGTTTCGAATAAGAGAACAGTTTCTTCATTGAAGAAAAAATCGATTTTGTTTTCGCTCCACTTCCTAGTAGGCGTTCTCTTTCCTCGTCCGTCCCTTCCTCGGTGTTAACACTTCGGTATGACTGGGTACAAATCGTTGATAGCAGCGTCCAGTTTAGGTAGAACACAGCACATCCGACTACACTGCCGACAAAGGAACCCCAGAACCAGGGTATGTGAGGAAACTTGGCGTCCTTTTCTGAATACAGCAGGAGCTTGACACAAGTGTACGCACACATAGCAGCGGGTAAGACACCGATCCACGATCTTGACAACCTGATCCTTGGAACAGCATCTCTGGTGTTGCACAGCACAGACATGACAGCACCAAACGTCACACATCCTCTCAGCAGCCCGAGTGCCCAAATGTCTAACAAAGACGCGAAGATGCTAAAAGACTTTATGTCATACGTGAAGTTGTACAGACTCGCACCGTTCATGTACAAGATGGTGTTGACGGCAACGTCGGCCAAGGATAGCAGAGTAACAACAACAACGGTCCTCCTCTTTCCGGCCATTATGAGCTGGAAATTACAAGACGACATACGTCAATGAAGGAAAAACATCCAGACAAAAGTACAAATTGATCAAATTGACTGAACAGCATGTCTAGCCGGCCTACTCCCCTGGTATGCAAATAAGTCTAATTGGGCTTTTTTACAGTACCTACTTGGCTTATTTGCCAGCAACCCTGGGAGCCTGGTTCAGGCTGGCGATAAGTCCTACATTAAAGAAAAATGGCCCAATAAGTAGTATTTTCTAAGTACAAGTACTCGGTTTTAATACTTACCTCGATATCCTTTTCTCTCTCGCTTGTATGACAGACGACTTTTACAACATGGAGGAGGTGATTGTCTTGTTCAACCAGATTCGCTAATTATAAGGGTCAGAGGTTACCCTATACATCGGCAGGCGGAACGAGTAGATCCACTTTACCTGGACCAGGTGACCTCGGTTGCCTATTGTGCAAGAGGTAATTTACTTACTTACTTTAATTGGGGCCTTGGCACCATGTAGAGCATAGGTTACCGATAATCTTTCTCTATCCAGATTGATTCCAGGCCTTTGGTCTTGTTGGTTACAAAAACAAAGTAACGCCTCAGGCAGATAAGAAGGACAACCTTTATATATCACTACAGTCAGCCGTTGACATGCGATATTTGCACAACAAAGGCGAACCAATCTGGAGCGCACTGCCCTACCTGGTAGACCTAATCAACAACAAAGGGTTAGCGCAACAAATAAGTAGTAAGACAAGCACATTGTAAGGTTCAAAATATTTTAGTACATATTTCTTTATTGTTTTCATTGTAAATCATACTCTACTTCAGCCGTTGAAGACTGCCAGTGTATGATCTGTAATGATAATGACCATTCATATGCATTCATTCAGACGGACTACAAACGTCCCCTAACATTGTTTTCCTTTACATTGTAGCATAGATACCGTATCTTAGTTACTGTAGCACTTAATCATCTCGATGTTAGAATATATTTCCTGAGTCGTTTTCAGAGCTGAGAAGCCCTAAGTTAACTTTCCACTCGAATGAGTCCTTTCATCATCCGGGCGCGTCCAGCCCCAACATCTCCCGCCGCACCATCCTAGCGTACAGCCCGTCCTGCTGCATCAGCTCCCGGTGCCGCCCCTGCTCCACCACGCTGCCCTTGTCGATGACGATGATGCGGTCAGCCCTCTCCACAGTGCTCAGCCGGTGGGCGATGACGATGACCGTATGGCCGGATCCGTGCAGGTTTTCGATAGCCTGCTGGACCTGGAGCGGGAAGAAAATAGTCCCTTCAGCACTCTTTTGAGTCAAGTTTCTGTGGTAGGGAGAGTTTATTTATTACCGGTATCACTGACCAAATCAAACTTACTTCGATCATTCAGCTGTTACGCATTTGAGTACTTCTATGTGATGCAGTGCACTGAGTCTGAGTTGACAGTACATCAGTTGTGCTCTATCGTCGTCCACGACCCATCTACTTTGTCATATACATCCAAGTTGTAACGGATTTGGCATGAAAATCCTGATTTCATCTTCAGTGTTTCATCTTCAGTGTTCTATATCAAAAACAAAGCTTGCCATTTGTTCACTCTCGGCATCCAAAGCGCTGGTGGCCTCGTCCAGTAGCAGCACCGCTGGTCTCCTGATCAGCGCCCGGGCGATCGCCACCCTCTGCTTCTGTCCCCCCGACAGCTGCATCCCCTTCTCCCCAGTCTCCGTCTCGTACCCCTCAGGCAGCTCCGCAATGAACTGATGGGCGTTGGCCTGCCTAGCAACCTGCTGCACCTCCTCCAGGCTGCAGTTGTCCAGGGCATAGGAGATGTTGTCCTTGATGGAGCGGGCAAACAGCACAGGCTCTTGTCCTACCAGAGCTATCTGAAATCACACCATGGTACAAATTTCAAGTTTAGACCAGTATTTTTAAATCGCAGATTGTTGAGTTGAGCTTAAAGTGACAATTATAACACATATAACACTAAAGCCCCTAATACTGAAGGGATAATAAAACAGATAAGGGCCTCACCATTCGGTGCAGAAACTTGTGATCATACGCCATGATGGGGTTACCGTCTAGCAGCACCTGGCCTGACGTGGTCTCATAGAAGTGTTCCAGTAGGTTGACACAGGTGCTCTTCCCACTGCCACTGGGACCGACCAGTGCAACAACTTCGCCGGGAGACACCTTGAAGGAGATATCCTGGTGCAAAGAAAACTGTTAAACTTATCTCCGGGACACCTTTGTACTATAATAACTCCAGTTAAGCTGCTGTTCTTCATGGGACCAAACACATTTTGTCTTTATATGCACAAATACCTGAAATAGATATACAAGTTATGCACGAATACCTGTATTCAAGTACCAAAAACTTATGCATCATATCCCACCTTCAAAACTTGCACGCTCCTTCGGGATGGGTAGGCAAAGGACACATTTCTGAACTCTATATGTCCTTCAGGTCTCGAAGGTGCCATTTTCCCGCCGTTTTCAATCTCTGGCTCTCGTTCTATGTATTCAATGATTTTCTTGGACGCTCCAACCGCTACCATCAGCTGTACGTACACGTCTGTCAACTTCTGGTATTGGTTAAGAAACAAACAACATGCAATGTAGACAATACACATCGTAAATGTCTATTTAACAATTAGCCTTTGTACCCAGGCTATATAATCATATATTAACTATTCCTTGAGATGCTGGGATCTAGGTGAGGCATAAGATACGAGAATAACTCAGAGGCAAAAGTTCGCATAGCTTTACTCGCACTGGGGTGGACCCCAACTATCACCGTTGTATTTTAGTATGATGGGGTTATTATGGCTCTCCTAAACCTTCGGCGTAACGTCCACCCAAAGTGTGCATTCCCTACCAATAAGACTGCAAGGAGGTGTACAGAACATCACTACCTGAACGAACCTTGTAACCCAGAAGCTGCGACAAACTTAGTCCCGGCACTACTAGCTTTTGAGTGATCAGTGACATATCAATGAACAACATTTTCTTACCTCCAAAGCGTCCCTGAGGTGATTCTGGTACAGGATGAAGGACACCAGGCTCCCTCCTGTCAGCTTCGTCTCAATCACAAGATGGCCGCCGTAGAACAAGGTCAGCACGAGTTGCACAAGAGCGAACAACTGGAAATGGTAACACCTCTCAGTTCCCTTTCTTACAGACACCCAATCTTTAAGTATGACCAACGTAGGTTAGATGTTTAACCTCATTGGAATGGCATTTTCATGTACAGCATTTCTGTAAAATGTTGTGAATAGAACCAGATTCCAGCAGCAACGCCTGTGCAATTGCCATAGCGTGTTATCATAACTTGTGCCAGTGCTCAAAATCAACTGATAAGACAAAGTGCGTATGGATTAACCTACTATTAAACACACTAAACCTATCGATAAATCTACTTAATATTAAACAGATGAAGGCCGATTATGATAATGAGTGCAAAAGTGTGTCGTGGCAATGTGAAGCACATACACAAAATGTCACACTCACATTCTCGATCGTGATGAAGCTCCCCAGCAGCAATGCCTCCCTAAAGAACAGCTTGTAGGCGTCCTGAAGTTTCTCATTGTATCTCTCACACTCTCTGTCTTCATTTGCGAAGCTGCGGACTGTCCTCATGTTGGCACAGGTCTCCTCAGCAACATCGTTGGCCTTGGCTAAGGACGTCTGTATCTCCTTAGCCACTTTCTGTACAGGACCGGATGGTACAGAAAAAATCGCATTGATTTAAAAGTGGGAAGTGAGATTGTCTTTGTTTGTGACACAGTCTGATGATACAGAAGCACAAACAATGAACGGCGTTTCGTTAAAATTAGCCATATATCATAGGAAAACCGAATAACCAACTAGATTTCAAATGTAGTTTGCGGTTCCCACCAGTTGTTTGTCCGTCTGCTCTTTTCACACACATGTATGCTCTTAAACATTCGCAGAATATTGAAAGTTCACCTTCAGACATCTGCCGTACACCTTAGCAACTGCGGCAATGGGAGGGAAGAGCAGGAGAGTGAGGACCGACAGCCGCCAGGACAGCTTGAACATGAAGCCCACGGTAAGCACCACGCGCACCACGGTAGCGCAGAACACTTTCAGGTTCAGGATAAGCATCTCGGTACTGGTGGTTGTGTCGGAGATCAGGCGAGAAGTGATTTCCCCTACGATGAATAGAAAATAATGTGTGCTGCCAAGTATCCTCTACCAGGCTTAAGAAGCGATTGGAAAGAGCAGAAATTGACCGAATAGACAGATGACATTACGGGAGAGTTGGTCCTGCTAATGTGATAAGCAAACTGTACTCGTAATTAGCCGACCGACTCTCCTGGTATGTAATCTATCTACATCCCTAATTTCTAGCTACTCTAGGTCTTTCCAGCCGATTCTGAAGCGGCCAGCGCCAATGTGCAACCATATCACAGCTCACACACACGCCTAGTCATAATGCCCAATCATAATTACACCAGCAAAAAGTATTGAAGCAGCAAAATCGTTCCACATGTATTCACTCAACCTTCTCTCATGTAAAACATGGATGATTTTTATAAACGACAGTGAAAGTCTGACCAGTTTTGACGCTGTCGAAGAATCCAATCTCCTGACGGGTGAGGGAACGGAACAGCAGGTTTCGGACCCGGATGTTCAGCTTGATCATGGTGATTTGAAACAGTCCAGTTCGCATCCCATCGAAAAGTGAGCTACAGGTCACAGAGTAATGGTTACTTACATGTTTGACTCGACAGACCGATCAACATTTCTTTTGAAGTTTTCTTCGCAACAAAGCTACCCAATAGCATGTACTAATACATTTAGAGACGTGCATCACTTATTACAGCCGTATTTGAATTTGCCAAGTGCAATCATCAGTGAAAACGTATCGATGAGTTGGACATACTAGTATCACAATGTAAACATAATGGTCGATCAAAATCACGCACTTTTTTTAAAGATCAACAAGGTTAGCCCTCAATGGCCAGAGTTAATAAATCAATGAGTGTTTGTTCTTACGTTAAGGCTGTTAAAAGGCACATGATGACAATGGCGTGGGTGAACTTGGCCTGTGACGTTTCTATCTTGGCTATCCCGTCGATCACCTGGCCAGTGTAGAACGGGAGGAAGGTGGCAGCTGGAAGAGAAGGGCAGGTAAGACAAGGGACTGTCAGCTTAAGGGAATATCTACAACAATGGGCAAAAAAGAGATGGCAATGGTACGTTCTCCTTGATACTTACTGACAGCCCCTCCTACCAGAAAAGACGTCGCCGCAAGAAAGTACGGTATGACAGGCTTCGAATAAGAGAACAGCTTCTTCATTGAAGAAAAAATCGACTTGGTTTTCGCTCCACTTCCAAGTAGGCCTTCTCTTTCCTCGTCCGTCCCTTCCTCTGAGTTTATACTTCGGTAAGACTGGGTAACGATCGTTGACAGTAGCGTCCAGTTTAGGTAGAACACAGCACATCCGACTACACTGCCGACAAAGGAACCCCAGAACCAGGGTACGTGAGGAAACTTGGCGTCCTTTTCTGAATACAGCAGAAGCTTGACACAAGTGTACGCACACATAGCAGCTGGTATGACACCGATCCACGACCTTGACAGCTTCATCCTTGGAACAGCATCCCTGGTGTTGTACAGCACAGACATGACAGCACCAATCGTCACACATCCTCTCAGCAGCCCTAGTGCCCAAATGTCCAACAAAGACGCGAAGATGCTGAAGTAATTGACGTCGTAGGTGAACTTGTACAGACCCGCACCGTTCATGTACAAGATGGTGTTGACGGCAACGTCGGCCAAGGACAACAGTAGGACAGCAGCAACGGTCCTCATCTTTCCCGCCATTATGAGCTGTAAATTATAACAAGCGATACGTCCATGAATCGTTGAGACATCCAGTTAATGGGATACTCAAGAAATACAGTTACTCAGGCAACTGGATAAGATTTTGAAAACTGTCATCAGACGTGAAGTTGCATCTACTACTTTTCTTCAGAAGACACGCCCAGCTATGACAAGGTGGCCTTGTGGTAGGCAAAAAGCGGGTGACGGTTGGGTGATTTGGTTACCGATAATTTGCCTGTCTTCAAATAATTTGCATGTACATGATGTTATAACGTTAACAGAACAGCGACCGTTCAAAATTCGTGTATACCAAGGAGCTTCAAAAAGATATCAGTTCTATTACAATTAATTGTTACTCAAGCCTCGAGCGAAAAGTTTCATCAGGTTGGTAAGTCGCTAAATAAAGAGACTCCTTTTACACGTTTTATTAGGGGAGGGGTTCCGTCTTCCGCAGGAGTAAGGACATCCTGGATAACTGAGTGATCTTGGGAGCTTACAAGCTAGTGACAAGACACATACTCAAGAAAAATGTATGTTTTTCAAAGCACATGTACTCAGATTCAGTACTTACCTCGGTTTCCTGTCCTAAGCCACACGGCTCCTACAACATGGAGGTGTTTACCTTGTTCAACCAGGTTCGCTCATCACATTACTGGGTCAGAGGTTATCCCTGTCAATAGCGTGCTAAAGACCGGGTGGTCGCGCGCTGTCAGGCGGAACCAGAAGATCCACTTTACCTGGGCCGGGCTATTGTACAGGTGGTGTCTGTTACCAAGTAACGTCATAGGCGGCCTGAATGTTGAATCGCGCGCCTAGCGGCCGCGGCCCGTCCGACAATGAGAGATTGTGTGAACATAGGCTAATGACTTAGGCTGTAGCTATTAATAAATACTAGAACAGGACATTTTCGCGACTTCTACAAATCACCTCGACAGGTCGTTTGTTTGTTTGTTTGTTTATTAGCACCACAAAAGCAAATAACATAACATAACATAGTGGTATTGGAGGAGATAGGAAACTTTTAAGACTGCTTATGCCAATACATGTAATTATAAACTCTACTCCTATATACCACTTTAACACTTAAACTTGATTAGCAATATTCTGAAGGAAAATAAAACGATACAGTATCAATAATCAATAATTATTGATATAAGTTAAGAGCTGTACATATGACCTTTCAAACCCTTTAAAAGGGGTTCAGTTTCAGTTCAGTCAGACAAGGAGACTTTGACAGTTTTTGTTTATACTAGTAATCTGTTCAGATTTTTGAAAATGACAGGAAATTCATCTTAATCATAGTCAATGAGCTTATCTATTTGATATAAGAAAGTAGTAAGAGAGTCACAAACTCCCACTCCACTTAAATGTGCACAGCAATTAATTTCAGGATACAATGTTCACGCAAGTAATAAAGTAAGGTTAATACAAAATAAAATAAGGTTTGGACACCAGACTAGACCACCCTAGCAGCCATAGATTGTGTGATACATGTACAGGAAATACAGGAAGATGCTTCAAAATGTTTCCCTCTCTGATGGTCTGCACAGGATGGAGGGAGATACTAAAATAAGGCACTGTTGGTCTTGCAAACCTCTGAACCTATAGTCTCTATCAGGCTTCAGAAGCAGCTGGAAAGATGAGAAATTGGTCGAATAGACACATAAAATGCCTGGGGAGTTGGTCTGCTGAAGGAGTATTTGCTGCCTCCTCATGGCTTGGTAGAGGATACTGAGCTCCTATACAGATGAGGAAGGAAGATCCTTCAAAATACTAATCCCTCTCTGTTAGCCTCTAGCATGCTATACAGGATGCAAGGAATATTTGCCAACCCCTTGCTTGTGGCCAATTTCTACTTCTGAAGCCTGGTAGACTCTACTGAGCTGCTACAAACAAGGCAGAAAGATCCCTCAAAATATTTCCCACTCTGATTACTCTCTAAGCAGAGGATTTTTTATCGGGTTTCTTTTTTGCACTGGAACTTTTTTTGGGGGGGGTGAAAAAAATTCACCCAATAAAAGTCTAAAAACATGCCAAAAATAACCCAAACCTCTGCTTGGAGAGTACACTCTGATAGCCTCTAACAGGCTTTACAGACGAGGCAGGAAGATGCCGTGGAAGGTCATGCAGGCCTGTGCGGGGCTGGGCACCTCGGCCCGCCCCAGCTCGCTGAATGTCTGTCCGTCCAGGACCAGCAGGAACACGGCCCGGTCCTCACCGGTCAACGACCTCACCACCAGGGACAGCACCACTCCTGGGGGAGAAGGGGGGCATTTGATCAGTACCAAGTTTTCGCTGAAATTGCTGTTGCCTTGTGAACACACAAATTAAAATTCGAACCAACTTGCGGTACAGGACAATTGCAGTTGCCCTCTCGCGGTGACGGTGAGCCATGGTAACACAGGATGATCGGGTCTGGATGATTGGAAGGGATCATCCTATGTTACCATCTATAGCTCAGGGTGCAAGAAGACAATCGTGCTCTAAAAACGATGTCCACCAATGGATTACCAATATTCATGGTACTTGTGGTGTACTGCGGTGTAAAAGTAAAAAAAAAGTGACAGTGAAACTGATCTCGGACCAGTTCAGTTCACTGACAGAAAAGACACATACTATCTACGGTATTTACTGTCTTTTTATTGATGCAGGTTATACAATGTATGTGACTGTGTAATGTAAAGAATAATACAGCAATTTATACTTTTGATTCAGCTCTGCCAACTTAAAGGCAGTTTAACAAAACTCCATGCATTACCTTTGGATTAGTACACTAACTACATTATGTAGTTAGTAAACCCTAACCTTTACCCTAAACCTACCTTCATCCTCAGCAGTGGCACCTGGTGCCGGCACAAAGACAGGCTCGGAGGGGTAACACCCCGACTCCTTCCACACTTTTGACGACTTGGTCTGGGCATCACCCTTTACAAGCTGTAGGCAATCAAATCAATTCAATTGAATACTGATCCAAATTCAGTCACATAGATTATCTGATTTATAAACACAATGCCAATTTATTGCAGAATTATGTAAATTTTGCAGTTTATTTGAAGTTTGTATTTGAAACCAAAATAGCCTGACGTTCTTGCAATCCATACAGATACTTCCATGGCCTTCACACAATGCCCGACTCTTACCAGATCTATTTGCCCTGAAATTCCATAGAAGAAGCGGTATTTCTTCCCGTTGTAGCGGTCGTAGTTGATACGGGGGAGCTCCACAGTGCCTGGCATGAAACAACATGGAAGAAATGAATGGTTTGTTTTCAAATCAAAAAATTTATTCTAACAAAAATCAAACTCTTATGGACCAAGGTAGCTAGCATTTCAGGAGATTTTGTGTGGTCAATGTTGCAATTCAGAACTTTCCCTATTGCAGGCAATATCTTTTCTAACATAACATCTGAAAATTATGAGACCAACAGAAAGTAAATAAGGACTGTTAGGGCTGGTAAGTCGTCATACATGTACCTGGACAAAGTTTTTCCGGTGTACAGAAAACAGTCCCGTCATCTCGAAGAACTGCAGTAGCCTCCGTGTCAACCAGACTGACAAGATTATCCTGGTCAGAAGCCTGACAGAGAGAAAAGCAGATGTGGTGAAGTGTTCTAAATTGATGAAAATAGCAGTAAATTGCATGTGAATTGTTTTAAGTAGCAGAATGCAATGGCCAGGCAAAGACATGTTTGGCCATTTTCATTTCATGCCCTAATAGCCTTGATCAGCTCTGCTCTCAAACCTACCTCAGTAGGCTGAAGAGGCAAGACATAGCGTCTGGCCTCAATCATACTGTCACGTAGGGTGCCTTCTCCGCCCCTCAGATTTTCCAGGTACAAGCTGGTGACGCTGTCTCCTTCCTCGTTACAACAGACATCCACCACTAGGTGTCCCTCCTCCTCGTATGTGTTGATGTGGTGGAAGGTGAAGAAGGAGTCAGACAGGTACACTGTGGGTAACACCTGCCCTGTCTGCTTCTCAATCACATGGAAACGTGTCTGTGGGGCGAGGTAGAGATATAAGATAGAGTTGGTAGAGATGTACATTGTACATGTATGAGATAGTGCTGGTAAGTTCTTTACACATGTACAGCCACAGTGGTTTTGAATTGTGAGGTCACTGGCATTCCTGGTTAGACACATTCTTGGTACACTTAACACGATTTTACTCCTTCCACCCAGGTGTAAAATAGGAACTTGACTTCAGCTGGGGAGGTTAAGGCTGCGTAAGGAGAGGAAAGGTCTCCGCCTTTCAATACCATAGACAAAGTGGACTTAGAACCCACTGCCCCTAAAAAGGCTTACCTTTACTTTACCTTACAACCACTGTCAATTTACTCCTCAACATTTTGGCTGCTTTCATCAGGGTGCAATATAATGATCTTTTTTACCCCTTTTCCAGATGGCGTCGTTGATCATACTGTGATTGTGTAAAGAGAACCTCACTTGTATACGACAGCAACTGTACTTTTTTTAGTATGCAACAATGTTTAGCAAAAGAAAATTACCGGAGTGCTGCTGTCAAACTCCATGGCAGCAGACACTGCTTTTCCTGATATGAATTTAGAAAACATCAGTTTCCACACGTTGATGTACATGGGCTGTTCAACGAAGACAACATAGTTCTCAGTCAGACCAAAGCTGTGGAAGTAACTCGGCCTCATCTTATTCTCCTGCGGGACACTGGCAACCATGTACGCCTTTTGGGTTGGGTTGTTCCTTTCACCTGAAGGTCAAGGAAATAATGGGGGAATGGTTGGAACAACTTTTTCCACATTGTAATATGTTTCGGTCAGCAAAATTCTATCCAGGGACAGAACGATTAAAAAATTTGAATTATTACAGGAAGTGACCACCTTTACACAAGGACCACCTGGCCATTAATGGTGGCCATTGTTTTTGTGGTTGCACCAGAGTGTCACCCAGTCCGATGGGTCCGGACCTTGTGGAGCAGCAGTTTGTGCATTACTTCATAAGCTGGCTGCCTGGGTTCAGCACCAGTTCGATTTCCGGCAGTCCCAGGAGCCAGGAGTTCGATGTTTCTACTCGCCCCTAGGTTTTCCGTGGTTCCTACACTGGGCATCAAGAATCCTGTCTATGATGTCTACTGTAAGCAAGTTCCACGAGTACTCACTATAGACTGAGGTTAGACAGTATATGTGCGTACTACTAGCCAAATCATATGATGATAGCAGGCACATACCTTCATCGGGAAGGGGCATCTTCACCAGGCCAAAGAGGCCGTCTTTTCCAAAACGTGATGCCATGTTGTAGATCGTTCCATCTGCGTCTGTGTGGGGGTGGGCAGTCATCAGATTCAAGGCCACATACTTGGAACGGTCCACCTGGTGACAACAGGATGGATTTTACATGACTCATTGTATAGGTACTTGCAAGCCAATGCAGGTCATTTCTCTCTCTTGTGGTTAAAGATATTTTCTATGACTTTTGCTATAAAGCCTGTCCTTAAGCCTGAAACTTCAGACTCCTTGCACTCACTGACCTAAAAAAAAACTTTTTTGGGTCAGGAAGTGTAAGGATGTAACAAAATGAATGGCCCCCCAGGCTTCTTTGCATAGCATACATAAGTAAAAGTACCATGCAACAATAACAGCAACAAAATTTTGCCTACATCTGGGTTAAGACTGTGAGATGATTCATTCAAAGAACATACCAAAACACTGCAGACTGGCCTCTTAAAGAGAAAACATTACCTTTTCCTGGTCTGTTTCCAGTGTCTGAGGGTCAATTCTCCTCATCATCGGTGTCTCCGTCATGGTGTAGATCTCATCTCGGACTTGCATCAGGTTCACGCTGCAGTTGTCTGAGGGGACAGACGTGTCCCAGAAGTAGGAGAACACCCTGGGAGAAAAACAGTCACAATTAAGAAGAAAACTTCAAGATCTGGATCTAAGAAAACTTAGAGTAATAGACTTTAAGTAATTCACCAGTATCTCAGGCAGTGCTGTCAAACCCCAACAGCCTACAGTGGCCTGACACAAGGAACTAAAAGCTAGGCCATGTTGTCAAGTAACATTTTCACCTCGTGTATGGCAGGTGTTGTCTCAATGTGTTTGCTTGTGTTTCCGTAATTATTTCCACATGCTAGGCATGTCAGGGACACTGACAATAATTTGAATAAAGTCCAAGGAAGGTCTCAGAGAAAGTCTTCAGTTTCCTTATACATACATGTACATGTACATGTACATGCATATCTGTTGCCTTGTGGGAGCCAGCAGGAAAATCAGCAAGAATTTCACAATTGAAAAAACAGGACGTTTGCAAAAATCTAGCTGTACGCTCTTCGGTTTCTTGTTCACCTTGAAAAGATGTTCTTGCAGGGGTCTGGATAAGAGTTTGTTCCGAACTCGGTGACGACGATCCTGTTCTGTTGTTCGGCCAGAACGTACGAGTCACTCCGCAGAAAACGGTTCTGATACGTCACCTTTGAACCCTGTGTAATGCGTGGTGAAAAGAACATTTTAGTGGAAATTTACAGGATTGGTGTAACTTTACATCAATAATTTGCATATGCTACACAGCCAACACTGAATAATGCCATATTATATATGCTACATAATACTACATTTATAAGGCAACCCTTAGGGTTTTTTTAAGTCTAATAAGAAAAGAACCTAGGCTGTCATAGTCTGAAACTTGTTCTATATGTATACATCTAATTACAATCTAGTAGTCATTACATACATGTAAACATGCATATCTATAATTATACATGTAGGTCCAAGTTCAGGGAATAGAAATCAAGCAATGACATTACTACAATATGGCATATGTTTGCATGTATCATAATACGGCATGCCTACCTCAATGTTGAAGCGGTGAATGAGACACAGGCCATCAAACAGGTGGTTGTAGGACTGGCCGCCGACTTCAAACTTTCCAGGACCGACCCGGAGCAAGCTGCCCTTCAGCCATTCCGGGATTTGACCTTTTGGACCAGACAATGTAGAAGGAGAGAGAGTTAACTTACAATGTACATGGTTAAAATGGAAAGCTGTTTATTCCCATAATGTTATACATTTAATGAGACATTCCTTGCCCTGTCCCCCACCCCAAGGTTTATCAAAGGAAGACGAAACTCAGAGATGTGAGGAGTACAATTTATAGACAATAATGATAATAGCAACAGTAGGAAACCATGACCATGCAGGGGAAGCAAAAACCTATATGGAAGTCCTTTCCTACCTTTGACATCAGCTTGTAAGGGCTCAGCTGTCTCCTCCACTGATTTAAAAAGAGCATCCATTCCAGACTCTTGACTTAAGGTTCTGTGTAAGGGAATTTAGCCATTAATAACAAAGACAAAGAAGATCAAGCAGATATTGGGTGGAAAAATCTAGGTAATGTCACACTGCTCTGACAATGTCATCTGAACACAAGTTCCACATCACCCTTTGAAAAATAGATGATAGTAGAGGTTGAAATTTGCAGTGGTTTTTAATATTCAGAATTTTTGCCTTGACCTCTTTCATTTACTATATTATACTGACCAGCCTCTTTAACTTGCAACATAATGTAACACAACACCACAAATGTGTCTGCTACCACACTAGTTACAGGACCAGTGACAGGTCATTGACCTTATGTGTTTGGAGAAGAAGATGAAACAGAGTGAGGGTAAGCATAAAAATACAATACAGTGGCAGAACTTGACATATTACCTGGTATAACACAGATACCAGGGTTTAATCTGTAGAGAAAGGTGAATCCTCCCTACAGATCCCACTAATGTTGACAGTCGACCTGCGCTTGTCTTGGTGACAAGGACTTTGAACATACGGTTTTCAGCAGAAGCCAAGGATTCAGGTCATTTGTCCCTCTGCAAATCAGAACAACCAAAAATATGCATATGGCAAGTGTTCAAATATAACATTTAGTATGACAACTAGCTGTTTCAACTTTTCGAGCGTTTTATGACTGAACGACGACCTCGCTTCTTTCTTCAAGTATTTGCACCTAAGCTAATAGCTAGTTGTAGCAAAATTATGTCACAACTCACATTTTGACAGCTGCACAGACTGAAGCATGAAGATTGTCCTTTCAGTGTGCGTTGACTTATCATAAACTGTCGTTACTTGCAGAGATGATAACATGCAATGCCTACCTAGGTTGGATGACAGGGTGGGGTCTGACACATTATTTCCAGACTGTTTCCTTGTGGCATAACGCAGACGAGTCGAGTCGAAATCTGTACCCAAGCCAGTGACCCAAAACAACTTGCAGGTCAACGACCTCGAATAGTACATTGACCTGTCAGTGGCGACCCCTTGCGACATTGTTTCGAATTGCAGATATTTGAACCCAGGCAGACTGAAACTTGTTTTCAACTCCCCACACTCACCAAGGCAGCATCCTCCCATGGCAGGGGCAGCGGCTCCGAATTCCTTCTTCACCCCTACCCCTGCCTGATTACATGGCATTTTCTACTCTACGACCCGAGGAATATTAATATTCATGAGCTTGCCTTATTTGGCATGACCCCATTTCTGACTTGGGCGGCGAAGGGACGTCACCCTCCCCGCCGGCGACTCCGCCGCCGCCCGGTGACGAGCCCGTTAACGCGTTGGGGAGGCCGTGCGGGGCAAAGTCACCGAGTTAACACCTTCCCCGTGCTCGGCGGGATCCGCGCGCAGCCTCCAGCACACGCTAGCGCCCCGCCGACGCCCGCAGCGGCCTGCATCGCAAAAGTTCTCTTCCCGAGACGACGCCATGTTTGTTTTTATTTGTCACTGAATAGCCGACATGATTGGTTCCGATAGCTAGCGCATCTCATAAATATTAATGTGAAGTGCGTTGAAGATTTTCTCTGTGATACGTGATTGGCTGAGAGCGTGTCCCTGGAATCGGGTCGTAGAGTAGAAAATGCCATGTAATCAGGCAGGGGTAGGGGTGAAGAAGGAATTCGGAGCCGCTGCCCCTGCCATGGGAGGATGCCCAGATACAAGGAATTACAATCTTCACCCGCGAGTTTGGTGAATACGACATAGCGCGTAGGGGGTTGCATATGACCAGGTAACGATCCAAGCTTACCGCGGTGAGGGTGAAGNGGAGACGACGATCCTGTTCTGTTGTTCTGCCAGAACGTACGAGTCACTCCGCAGAAAACGGTTTTGGTACGTCACCTTTGAACCCTGTGTAATGCGTGGTGAAAAGAACATTTTAGTGGAAATTTACAGGATTGGTGTAAATTTACATCAATAATATGCATAGGCTACACAGTCATCACTGAATAATGTTCTTATCTTATACTAATCTTATACTAATAGTATACTACATGTACAGGTAGTTCCTTTTTTAAGTCTATAGTAAAGATTGCGATACAAATGTCCACAATTACATTACGTATACACGTACATGTATCACAATACGGCATGCCTACCTCAATGTTGAAGCGGTGAATGAGACACAGGCCATCAAACAGGTGGTTGTAGGACTGGCCGCCGACTTCAAACTTTCCAGGACCGACCCGGAGCAAGCTGCCCTTCAGCCATTCCGGGATTTGACCTTTTGGACCAGACAATGTAGAAGGAGAGAGAGTTAACTTACAATGTACATGGTTAAAATGGAAAGCTGTTTATTCCCATAATGTTATACATTTAATGAGACATTCCTTGCCCTGTCCCCCACCCCAAGGTTTTATCAAAGGAAGACGAAACTCAGAGATGTGAGGAGTACAATTTATAGACAATAATGATAATAGCAACAGTAGGAAACCATGACCATGCAGGGGAAGCAAAAACCTATATGGAAGTCCTTTCCTACCTTTGACATCAGCTTGTAAGGGCTCAGCTGTCTCCTCCACTGATTTAAAAAGAGCATCCATTCCAGACTCTTGACTTAAGGTTCTGTGTAAGGGAATTTAGCCATTAATAACAAAGACAAAGAAGATCAAGCAGATATTGGGTGGAAAAATCTAGGTAATGTCACACTGCTCTGACAATGTCATCTGAACACAAGTTCCACATCACCCTTTGAAAAATAGATGATAGTAGAGGTTGAAATTTGCAGTGGTTTTTAATATTCAGAATTTTTGCCTTGACCTCTTTCATTTACTATATTATACTGACCAGCCTCTTTAACTTGCAACATAATGTAACACAACACCACAAATGTGTCTGCTACCACACTAGTTACAGGACCAGTGACAGGTCATTGACCTTATGTGTTTGGAGAAGAAGATGAAACAGAGTGAGGGTAAGCATAAAAATACAATACAGTGGCAGAACTTGACATATTACCTGGTATAACACAGATACCAGGGTTTAATCTGTAGAGAAAGGTGAATCCTCCCACAGATCCCACTAATGTTGACAGTCGACCTGCGCTTGTCTTGGTGACAAGGACTTTGAACATACGGTTTCAGCAGAAGCCAAGGATTCAGGTCATTTGTCCCTCTGCAAATCAGAACAAACAAAAATATGCATATGGCAAGTGTTCAAATATAACATTTAGTATGACAACTAGCTGTTTCAACTTTTCGAGCGTTTTATGACTGAACGACGACCTCGCTTCTTTCTTCAAGTATTTGCACCTAAGCTAATAGCTAGTTGTAGCAAAATTATGTCACAACTCACATTTTGACAGCTGCACAGACTGAAGCATGAAGATTGTCCTTTCAGTGTGCGTTGACTTATCATAAACTGTCGTTACTTGCAGAGATGATAACATGCAATGCCTACCTAGGTTGGATGACAGGGTGGGGTCTGACACATTATTTCCAGACTGTTTCCTTGTGGCATAACGCAGACGAGTCGAGTCGAAATCTGTACCCAAGCCAGTGACCCAAAACAACTTGCAGGTCAACGACCTCGAATAGTACATTGACCTGTCAGTGGCGACCCCTTGCGACATTGTTTCGAATTGCAGATATTTGAACCCAGGCAGACTGAAACTTGTTTTCAACTCCCCACACTCACCAAGGCAGATCTGTTGATGAATCCCGCGAAAATGTCGGAAATAAATGCTGTAGCGTTTCCCGACTGCTTAATCGTGTAGACTGTAATACAAAGAGACAAAAACGAGCCAGTACAAAGACATAATGCTCAAAGAAACGCGGAAAAGAGCCGGAGTCACACATCTGCGTGCTTGACGATTAGCTCCAGATGTTCTTCCAAAGTGGAGGGACCATCCATGAAATAGATGATGATAAATCGTAGTGTCGACATTTTATACATTCCATCGACGCAAGACGTCATGATTCAAAATCCAAGATAAATAAAGAATTACCCGTGTTGTTTTCGTTACAAGAATCAATATTTTTGCATCACCAATGAGGTTGCATTATGCATGCGGACCTCCGTCTCTGCACCTATTGTGATTCATCCCTCACGAGTCAAAGTTAGAGGAGTTTGTCGCCTAAGGCAGCGAAACACTGAACATTTTCTGCAAAACAGACCGCTTTGAGAAGACAGTGGTGAGTTGTTTTCGCGTTCAAAGTCTTGTTCTTGTAGTTGTTACTTTTTTAAGATCGCAGTAAACTCCGAAAAGGCGAGAATGTTGTTTGTTTTGGAGAGAGTTGGAGAAAGTTCTGTTCCAAGAAAAATGGCGGCGTGTTTTCTTCGATCTGTCTGGCTGACAGCTAGCAATTCTAACTTTTATTAGACAGAGCTACAGGATCTTTTAAGAAAGACGGTGTATGAATCAACATTCAATAATTTTGCATACCGCTATACTCTGAGTTGTTGGCCATTCGCACCAAAAAGGCAAAGAACTGATTTTGCCAGGCCGAGAGGGGGGGGGGGCGTTTTTTCTGACATATACCAGATACCAAGGCAACATGACACTAATTTGTCAAAAAATTCCAATTTGCAATACTTTGCATACCCAACCAAACCTGACACGTATTATTGATATTTTTTTTGTCCTCACCTTAATCACATGTAATGTTAAGCTTGTAAACTGTTGGTATATTTCGGTTCAGTTTATATCATTTGTACTTCTATGTTTGCTTGTTTCAGAGAGAAACATAATTTGAGCTGTGATTTTTGACAGATCACGCACACAGCCGCACAGCCATGGACAAGAACTTCTTTTATCAGATCAGCCAGCAGCAGCAAAATCTGCAGGTATGCAAGCACAAGGATTTATATACTGTAATTTGTGTGTAAATTAATGTCTTTGCCCATTGTGTTATTTGGGATTTAGGAAAAATTTGGAAAAGCTTCAGTGACTTTGAAAGCTTTTAAAAGGTTTCAAGGGTTTGACACAGTTCTATGTCTTACTTTAGATTGACGTTCAAAATAATGTTTCATAGATATAAGTTTGTTGACCATTTAGTCCTCTTAAGTGCTTGAATAACTTTCAAAATTTCATTAACAGAAAGTGAAAATTTGAATGAAATGAAAATATCATAATATGTTACATCTACTCTTCTTTCCTCACAGGCACCTGGGGGTTCTGGGCAAGCCCTAAGACGACCCAACACCATCCCCAGGGTGGTGGAAAGTTCAGGCAGTGGACAAAGGAGTCAGCAAACGACCTCTCCGACTGCAGTGGTGTCCCCCTCCCCACAGGCACAGTCTGCGTGGGGCACCTCTGGGGGGGCCTGGGGCGGAGGCCAGAGTTTCGCTTCTGTGGTGGGACGAAACAGTCCCAATCAGAATCAGGTAAAAAAAAAAAAGGATAGCTGAGGAGTGAGGATTGCTAGATTCTTCTGAGCAATAACACAAGTCCTCTGTGTATCACCACCAGAGAGCTAGTTAGCTTCTTTTGATAGTCTGTTGGAAAAATTTTTAACTTTAGAGTTTAAAAACTCTTTCCATAACGATAAATAGGAACACAGATACACAGGAAAACTACATACTAGTACTTGTATTTCCGTCTATTCAACAATGTGGGTAGATGAGTTGTGTTAAGGTTATTGTTGTGGTAATTTGCAATAAGCATTTTTTTATTTATCAATGGACCAACACTTAGTTACTGCATTTATACTGATCTCAGTCAATGTAGCCTGTGTATACAAGCTCTCGGCTGGACGTTAATGACCCCCACCTGGGGGCGGCAACCTAGGGCGGCGGCCGCCAGGAGCGCGATTTAGTCAGGCTATCAGTCAATGTAGGAAGTAATTTTTATCACAAATACAATTGCAAAAGTTTTCATAAGTAATAAAAAATACTAATATGAAAATCAACTGCAAAATACTGTATGAATATTTTTTTGGGGTCCCATCTATTCCAAGCCCCAGATAGCAGCACGTCCCCGCACAGGCCTCCAGAATGGCACCACCGCTGCTTCCACCAACTGCCCAGCTGCAGTAGCAGCACCATCAGGCCCTTCCACCCAACCCCAGCCTGCCTCAGCTGCCGGGGACGCCCACCAGCCTGCCCGGTACGACACCGTGTTCGTCAGCGAGAACCCCAACGTGTACACCAGCTACCCCGACGCCGGGAGGGTCGCCGCGCCCAAGGACATCCCGCAGGAGCTGATCGACGGGTTCCTGAACGGGCGCCGGCAGCCGGTGAGCGCGCTGAATGAGTACTGCCAGCTCAGGAGACACAAGCTGGAGTTCAACGAGGTTTGCTTTTGTTTACTTTATCTGCACAGATACAAAAAATACATAATTAAACTAGAAAGGTAACATTTGCAAAGCAAATGCATAATGTTTACCTTTGCATATCATATGGTCTGCTCTGTTAATTCTTACCCAAACACATTCATATATGGTCACACAGGAGTCTAAATCCCTCCTGCTTTGAAATTGCAACATGATGTAACCCAACACTAGTTACCATGGCAACAGACACAACATTGGTTCAGGTCAGAGGTCACTGTTTGGAGAAGAAGAGGAAGAAGAAACTGAGCAAAAACAATATGTTTTCCTTCGGTTACTAAACATAAATGATTACAGTATATATGCCAATAAAATGATACATGACTGTGTAACAAATGATTCACACAAGGTGGCAGGGACGGGGCCGCTGCACTGCCCGCAGTTTGCCTACCAGGCTAAGATGGACGGGAGGCCGTTCAAACCCGGCCAGGGGAGGACCAAGAAGGACGCCAAGGCCGCGGCGGCGAAGCTGACCCTGTCCACCCTCCTGGGGATCGAGGAGGGGAACGTGGAGAACTTCGGGAAGCCGAAGGGAGTGAAGCTGCACGACCAGTACGGGCGACAAACCGTCATCCCCCACCAGAACAAGGCCAGTGTTTGAAATAACCCTGCTTTTTCTGCAAATTGCAGATAGATTTTCAATATTGCAGATGAAAAATTATACAAATCTAAAATTTTGCAGAATGAAATAGTCAGCCAGGATCGGTTTTCAATGGTTCTCACAAGGAGACAGCACGCTGTGCACATATTTTTGCTGTCCATATCTGAGGAACTGTTAGAATAATTAAGCGAGAGAGATAATAAAGAAATAATGATACAGTAATGCTATGGGTTACAAAGCTTATATATACCCCTTAGATGTGAATTTGGATCAGATATGTTTAAGTATAGTGGAATTATTGTGGTTTTGCATATGTAATTAGGGGGACTTAGAAATTTTTGGCGTTTTGGATCAAATTTAGTACATGTATATGACAATATTGGTTTGAGATGTAGCATTGAGGCTTGCAGAAAGTACCTCCAAATTGCAGAACAAAATTTTGACTCATCGGCAATATAGAAGAGCACTGAAAACAGTATTTCTCCCCCTGCAGGCCAATGTGTACCTCCCCCAGCAGATCCAGCCGCTGCCGCAACAACAGAGCCAGGACCGGCCCGAACCGGACAGGCCACGCCCCTCCGCCATACCCCCCGTGGTCCCGGGACTGCCCACGCACGCAGACATGGTGGCAGCGATGGCGCGATCGTTCTTCCAGAGAACCGTCGCTGGACCCTTCCCGGAGATGAAGTCAGCGGAGAGGAACCTGGCTGTCATCATTGTGAAGAAAGGTGAGACAGAAGGCTGCATTCACTGCGGTCATTTCAATTTTAGTATCAGTCAAACAATAAATGAAACCTGTCCTAAAACACAATTTATTTCTCTTCCCTGAGCAGTTTCTTCAGTTTAGTGAATTACTGTTGAGCAAAGTTCTCTGTACGCAAACAACATCTAATCACAGATATCCGTGATTCTTGAAAACATTGTCAGGTTGTTTATTACCTGCTGGTAAGTATATTCCTCTTCATTTTGTTGTCTCTATTTGGTCATATCTTTCATAGTTACTGGGATATTCACCTGAAAAAGTTAATAGATTTTCCGAATTTCCTTTTTTTTTCAAAATCCGTCATGAATGTTTGTCTCCTCCACAGGAAGAGTGGATGCGGGCGAGGTAGTTGCCATGGGAACAGGAAACTCCTGTGTGATGGGGAAGAACATCGGCACAGACGGGCGAACGCTGAACGACTGTCACGCCGAGGTGGTGGTCAGACGGTCCCTCCTCAGGTTAGTTTCATCATCATCATCTTCTTCCATTGGTCTCGTTGACTGTTGGGGCACCACATATACTCTGTCAACCTCCTTTCTCTATCCTGCTTTTTGCTATTGATAGAGTATCACACACTCTGAACCCTGTTGCTTGTTGGCAACAAGTTCCACTCTGCAGTAGTTCTAAGAAACATAGCACTACTACTAGTCTAGCAGCATTGGACTTGGATGTACATGTATAGGCAGATGCATTATAAAACACAGTACGTATGTTTCAATTACTTCGTTACCTTTATTCCACGTAAGTTTTCTTCAGGTACTAGAACTGAGAACTGAAAAACATCCCCTTTATTTCACAAAATTCATACCTTGTTCAACCTCCCCTTTTTCTTCAGGTACTTGTACCGGGAGCTGAAGAATGTCTTGGAGGGCTGCGGCAGCATCTTTGAGAAACACGCAGACTCCTTACTGCTGGTCCTGAAGGAGGGCGTGTCCTTCCACCTGTACCTGACCACGCCTCCATGTGGAGACGCTGCTACACACATCACCAGGTCACCAGGCTTGTACTATAGGTCTAGGGCTGGCAAGGCTTTTTCTTCTTCTTGAATCACCAGTCTGTTTTACACTCTCCAGCACTCCACACACACCCTTCATCTCGGGGTCAGAACTTTCAGATTCTCCTTGGTGCAAGGTTCAGGCAAGAGACAGACAAGAAGGCCGACATGGCTTGAAATTCTTTTTTTCTGCATACCTGCACTGGTGCAGCCAACGTTGAAAATTACCTGCACCACTCAGAATGTACCACTCAGGAAGTACCCCCAGCAGTAGTAAAATTGTATCCTGACTTTTTCCAAGACTTACGTTGTCCCTTCCTTCACAGGGATGACCCCACAAGAGTGCGTGTGACTGAGGATGACCTGTCTCTCATGTCCAGTGGGGAGCACAGACCCACATTTGCCAACAGTCAGCACGGTGCGCTCTCCATCAAGGGACAGGCTGGTAAGGACACAAGTAGGGGCAGCCATAAACATCTGTACTCTGCATTTTCTTCACTCTGTCTACACTCACGGACCAGTTGAGCAAGTGTCAGCTTTTATTCAAAATAAGGACTGAAAATACTGGGTGCATGTACACCCAAATTGTGTACCAATTTGTTTGCTACTGGTGCGTGTACTATTGTTTTATTCCTTGTTAAAATGTTTTTGAAGTGTTATAATTTGGGCTGATTGATAAACTTTTGTAAAACTTTGTTAAGTGAGTGCGTGACACTGTATGTGTGTGAGGTTTGTACTTACAAGGCCTTACCACATATTGCAAATTCTCCATACTCATTCTTGCTGAACTTGTTTATTTCTCAGGTTACAGTACCAGACCGTTGAACAAGGGTGCCCGGCTGTCCTACACCTGGGACCAGCTTCAGGCTGCGGGTCAGATCGGCACCATGTCCTGCAGCGACAAGCTGGCCAAGTGGAACGTGCTGGGTCTGCAGGGAGCTCTGCTGAGCCACTTCATCGAGCCGGTCTACCTGTCCTCTGTCACCTTCGGTATGTGTTTGTTGTGCCATTATTTACACTAGAAGTTGCTCTATTCAGCCATAAGGGCTGCTTTTTATAGAGGTACCTGTCATCGAGCCCGCATACCTGTCCTCTGTCACCTTCGGTATTTTTTTGTGTATTTACTTCATCATAAAACAGCTGGGTAGCCCATACAGCCAGTAAAAGCCGCTTTCCAATGCATTTACAATGTAGTCAAGCAACAAAAGGTTGACAACAGTAAAATAAAATCCGATGTGTCAAAACAAAAGCATGTTCATAAATCAAAGTCGTCAGTATTTGTTTGTGCCTTTATTACTGACAAAAAGTTAATGCTACTTGAAACATCTGACAGTTTTCAAAATCTATCCAGTTTTCCTGTGTACTGCTGTGATTCCTCAGGTACAAACTACGACCATGGCCAGCTGTCCCGCGCCCTGTGCTGCAGAATCGACGACCACATCTCGGCAGACCTGCCCGACGAGTACCTCAACACCCACCCGCGGCTCGGGCGGGTGACGGAGAACGTGAGCCTGCCGGACGTCGGCGACTTCGGGAGGCTGAGTCTGAACTGGTGCAAGGGGGACGAGTCACTGGAGATCGTTAACACAGACACTGGGCGCAGCACTGAGACGTCAGTATGGGAAGAAATAGAGAGCTTCAAACAACCTCTGCAGTTATATCTGCAAAGATTGGGTTTAACAGGTCGTTCGGTGTAATATAGCTAGCTGCTGCCTCACCATGTGCCAGTTAAGTTGGTGTGTTACACTGAAGGGGGGGTTATACTGGCTATACAGATACTTTTTTTTCAAGAAGGAAGCAAGAGACTGTCTCCAGAGAATTCCCCCAGTTGCTTGATTTCTTATGTATTTGTTGTAGCTGTTGAGGTATGATTTCTACTTCCTGCCACCCTTGACCGATTACACAGATACCATTTTTCTTCTCTTTTCAACTATCTTGTGTGGTGTTGTTAAATCAACCTTTTGTTTTTGTTAGGTCTCCCTTCCGTACGGGTGTCCTGGGTGCCAGTCGGCTCAGCAAGGCAGGATACCTCATGCGCTTCAGGGCCATGTGTGCACTGGCCAGGAGGCAGGACCTAGCCACAGCAAGCAACTACAACCAAGCAAAGGTAAAAATATAGTATAAGGTGCTCTTGTCATTACCTTGAATTTGAATCTAAAGGTTCTGGGTTTCAATCCCTATTTGTCCCCATGGGACGCCCACTACACGTATCAAGAATAGTAGGATTCCATCCCCCATGTGTGTGCATCAAATACTGTCCAAACAGAGGTTTGGGCATTGGCTTATCCTTAGTGTGTTTTGGGGCCTTTTTATCGGACGTTTTTTGGACTGGTATCTTTTTTTACACCAGTCCAACCTCTGATGGCAGTCGCAAGTATCAATGCTCTATAAACCTTATCAATTCAACACATTACGGTTGTTCTACAGTTTGGTGCGAACTACAAAGTCTGATCGTTGCAGGCAGAGGATGAATCCTTCCCCTGTGGGGCGACTTTCCTGGCTAACCAGTTCTGATGTTGACTGTTGTTGTTGCGTTGTTCCCAGATGATGTGCCAGAACTACCAGGAAGCCAAGCGGCAGCTGTACGACCACCTGACCAGAAGGGGCTTCGGCAGCTGGATGAGCAAACCACAGGAAGAGGAGCACTTCCAGAAATAAAGGAACAGTACACAGACAGAGTGCGCAAAACCCGTAATTTAAGGTCGAACCTCTCATATAAGGTCGTATTCGTGCATAGAAGGTTTCACATCCCGTTTGCAAATGTTATGTCAGAAAAGACATCTTCTGCAACAGGCAAAATTCTAATGCAACACACCAAAAATCCAACAAAAAAAAAACATACATGTTTTGGACGACAAGAGATCACACACCTCATTTCTAGTTCTACCATCAACATGCAAAACCCTTTTCACTTAGCATTGCATGAAACATTTCCATACTTTTTTTTTCCACAGGCATTGCCTTCAGGTCAAGTCCATGCAGCCATTTATTTCTTTGCCTGTTTTCGGGTGGTCTTCTCCTTTTGGGTTGACACTCATAGTTTCTTTGTGCATCCATCGTTCCTTTTGAATGCCAACATTGGATTCCAAGATGCATGTATTAAAGCTTGGAGGTGGTATTACGTGAAGGCAAAGAGTTTGTTGCCAGTGAGTTGTTTCGCTCAAAGATTCGGTGCAGCAGAGTAGGAAAGAAACACCAAACGGTTTTTCTTGTTTTGTTTTATTTTGTTACCATGATCATATTAAAGCTATCTGTTTTCTCAAAACCTTATTTGTTGTGTTGATCCATAATGTCAAGAGGCCAGTAGAGAAATTAAGGCAGAAATTCTGGCAGGTTTTACAGATCCCTCTAATTTAAGCTAGTCCCAGAAAGTACAATGGAATATCTTAATTAGAGAAATTGTGTCTGACTGAACAATTAGAAATATTTTTGATCCTTATGTTACGTTTCTTCTTGTGACATTGATTCCATTCAACATACTTGGTTACAAGACACACTGTTTCTATGGTTACAAGACACTCGGTTTCCATGGTTACAAGACACTCGGTTTCCATGGTTACAAGACACACTGTTTCTATGGTTACAAGACACTCAGTTTCCATGGTTACAAGACACACTGTCTCTATGGTTACAAGACACTCAGTTTCCATGGTTACAAGATACTCAGTTTCCATCATTACAAGACACTCGGTTTTCATGGTTACAAGACACTCAGTGTCCATAATTCCTTTGATTGATATACGTACGTGTACATACTAGCTTAGGCTGATTATACACATACTAGTAGGGATCCTTAGCTATCCCTGCATAACTGGGCACATACGAAAGCATTACTAATACTGCGCTCTGGGGATTCCCCATTGCCATGTGAAAGTAAAAGTAAACGCCCTAAATGAGGAACATTTCCAGCTATGGACGATATTTATATAAGTACGTGATACATTGCGAAAAGACCAGTTGCAAGCTTTGTTACCTTTTTTAATAATCAGGTGCGAATATAGTGCATTGGAACTCTATTTGACATCTGAAAAGCCCTGTGATTACATAAGCCAGCTTAGAAAAGAACAAGAAATAGTCATGCATTCAAATAATCAACCAAGGGCAAAGGTAAAACTCTTTTTTCCTAGCACTGTCGTAGGGTGGGGCTCACTGCTTCCATTACCAGACACATGAAGCTGTAAACAACGCTTACAGTTAGATGTGCAAAGTCTACGTGTAACAGGTCGTTAGGTATATATTATATATATAGCCAACTGCCGCCGCACCGCGTGCCTGCGAAGCCGTCCAATATAATGCACTTAGCTTCCCCTGTCTTTCTCATCATAACCAGGGGAAGAAATTAAAAAGTCTTGATGATTCCCTTACTGATCAGTACTGCAACAGTGGCCATCACACCAGCTAGTATTATTACTAGAACCACTGCTGTGCAGATACATATTGCCCTCCTATTGGACCTCAGCCACATCCTGACTCTAGCACGTCTGGACACCCTCGCGAAGTCGCTGCCCACGTCGTTCAGTTGCTCTGTTCTTTCCAGGGCATCTTCCAGCCTCCGGTTATGGTTGTTCAAGCAATTCTCGACATTGTTCCGCATGATGTCCTGAGTTTCCTGCACTGCCTGCAGGAGATCTCCAGTGGTTGGCCTGGGCTATAAGACAAACACATTCTGAGTAAACTGATAAATTGATATACGTATTCATACTAGCTATGTGGTCTCACCATCTCCAAGAAGACGCACACAAGATCACCATCACCCCGAAGGAATCCCTCCTTGCAGGAGCGGAGGACGCATGGCCAACCTGAGCATGTCTCAACCGCCTAAGAACAGGCACAGGAAGATGTAGGAGTGTAGCAGTGGATGGCGACCCGAGAAGAAGAAGACGACTAGCTATACTAGGCTGGTTATGCACACAAAACTTGGCCTATACGAAAGCATTACTAATACTGGGGATTCCCCATTGCCCGATGTGAAAGTAAAAGTAAACAGGTGCCCAAAATGAGGAACATTTCCGGCTATGGACGATATCTATAAGTACAGGAAGGCGATTTTCATGTTATATATAGAGTGTGATATGAATTGTTTCTGGATTTGAGACAACGACAGACAACCACTACTAACAAAAATGTAACTGTGTTAAATCCTTTTCAGATCATGCCTATCTATTACGTGTTCGCAGTAATTATGTAGGTCCTAGAATCAGATGCGATCACTGGGTCAAAATCGCAGTTTACCCCAGGCAAGATGTTCTGAATATCTCCTGAATGTCCTACCTGCGGGTTTGAACTGGAAACTTCCGGTTCTTTCTTCTTCCGGCGTAGTATTTGCTTCAATTTCTTTCCAATTCCATCGTCAGGCCCTTCTGCCCCTTCCGCCTCAGACGAATCCGTAGTTTCCGTTTCGTCTTGAAACTTAATCTTTGTCGATGCCCCTTTTTCTCTTACCCCGCCGTCGCTTTCGGGGTCTCGTCTGTCCCCAAGAAGGGGCGCTTTCTCTTCCTCGCTTCCTTCCGGCACCGTTGTCGTCCGTCTGACTTGTACGGGCATCTCGATCCTGAATGACGCCGCTCTTATAGTTACTAGTATTTCCTCTACGGTCTAACGTTAGTATATAGACACACACGATGACGTCGTCACCTGTATGTACTCTGCTTGGTCACCGGTGAACCGGTTTCACTCACAGTGAGTTTCACTCAGACAATGGGCTACTATAATTACGTTCCTGTATATATATATATATATATATATATATATATATATATATATATATATATAT